GCCTCAGTCTCGTAGCCAGTTCTGAGCGCCCTGCTGCCCGGGTTAGGGGCGCAGGAGCGCGCCACGGAGTAAACCCCACGACGCCTCACGGTTTGCACAAAACGGGAAGCTCCGAGGGCGCTGCACGAAACCATTCACCGCTTTTCACGGAAGTGTGGGAGGCACGGGGTTTTTAACCCCCGTTTTAAAATGTGTGTAAGGTGCCCACGAGTGCACTCGAGGCATCGGTCATCACGTGTATCGACGACGGCGGAAACACAAAAACGGAAAAATGAGACACAAAGGCACCGGAGGCTCCGGAAGGCCACCCAGGGCCGAGTTCCGCGCCCGGACGGACGCGGCCGGCGCTCTGGCGCTGGGACCCACGTCGCAGCCCCTCGTTGCCCTAGGACAGGTAATACATGCGGTAGGCAGCGACGGGCGCGGCGACGAGTCCTGGCGCCTGCGGCGGGGAGCCCGCTGCGCCCGCGTACGCAGCCGGGGGGCCGGGCAGGGGCGCGCCCAGGGCGAAAGAGGGCAGCAGCGGCTTGGCCGCCAGCTTCAGCTTCTCCAGCTCGGCCTCCTGCAGCCGCTTGGCCTTGGCGCGGCGGTTCTGGAACCAGATCTTGACCTGCGTCTCGCTGAGGCTCAGGCTGCTGGAGAACTCGGCGCGCTCGGCCACCGACAGGTACTGCTTCTGGCGGAACTTGCGCTCCAGCGCCAGCAGCTGCGCGGTGGTGAAGGGCGTCCGCGGCTTGCGGTTGGTCCTGTGCTTTCGGAGGGCGCAGGGCGGAGGGCTGGGAGCGCCTGGGAGGAGAGACAAGCACAAAGCGGATGCTCCGACGCCAGCAGCGCGCCCCCTTGCCCACGCTTCCGAACCCCGGCAGAGCCCGGTTACGCGTGCCGGTCGCGGCCCTGAGGCACGACGAGACCCAGAAAGCACTGGGGTAAGAGAGGCAGGCCTCAGGGGGACGGGGCGGGGGGCCCTGGACTCGGGGTCTACCCTCCAGGGAGGGGGGACCGTGCTCACTCCGAGAAGCGAGGGGCTTGGGCAGGAGGCGGCCGCAAGAACTGAGCGGCGAGCACTGGGGCGAGGAGTTGGCGAAGCGGGAATTAACCGTCGCGGGGACGGACGGGGGCGGGGGGCGCTGGCGCCGGAAAAGCTCTGAGCCAAGAAGCCGCGGGTTCAAGGGCTTCGGGCTCCGCGTCCGGATTGGCGCGCGCGAGGGGGCCCGGGTGGGTTCGGTCTTTTCTTTGCGCGCAGGCCAGGCGCGTTAGTGGCTACTTGGCGAAGTTAGGGGTGCCGGCGGCCTTTCCGCCCTCGTCCTCCCAGCGCGGGCCGGGGCGGGGGCTCTCCTGGCTGCCTGGGACCGAGAGACAGGGCACTTACGTGGGGAGGACGAGCGGGCGGCCGGCGGGAACCAGGCCCAGGGCTCCGCGGTGCCCCGTGGCCTCTCCTCCCGGGGCTCGGTGGGCCCCGCGTCCAGCCCGCGCTCCGCCTCCAGCAGCGACTCGACGCTGAAGGGCAGCGGGCCGGGCCCCGCG